TTTGCAATACAATTTTAATCCATATGAAGAAATAGAGCTATATGTGTTGCTGTATAAAAGGTTCTCCTATGGACAGTGGTTGGGGACGAAGTGCAAGTGATTGGATAACCTCAAGGGGTAAAAAACGTTCCCCAGTGTTTTCAGTTTTAATCAAAGGTCCCCGATTCTCAGATACAAAGCTGTGGTGTTGTTAGAGGAGAAATTACAAGAATGGATGCTGACCTCTAGGGGAAGGTGTGTGTTGGTGGTGTTATATTGCCATGGGATTTATTTTTTTTTCCATGAGAATTTGCTGTTTTATTACCCATGCAATATCTTTGAGATGTTAAAAAAGCAACCATAATTCCCTGATGAAAAGTTTGGGAAAGAAAAAGAAAACCTCTTCTGATTCTGTCACTGATCCCCAGGTAGTCCATCTTTAACACTCAGTATTTATGTATTCGTCTCCTTTTCTTTCAGCTTAAGTGAATATCAGCTGTTCCCTCTGTAATTTCAGGAAAGTTCTTGGAAGTTTAAATTAAATGCGCATTCATTAATGGATGTTTTCCCATCATGTCCTTCCACAAATTTGACTGGACCTGGGCTTCAGTACGAGTGGACAGGCACAACTTAAGAAAATGAGATTCAAAATAGAAAATTAACACAACGTTCAGAATGCAAAGAAACCTGAGCAGGGTCTACATGGCTATTACATTGCTTACTCCACCTGCTTGGTGGCTTTTAAAGGTCAAGTTCAAGTAAATCACCGTTGTATTTTCACATGCACTGTGTGACCTATGCGTGTCCTTGCATCTATCCCAGGATGCACCTGCACAAAGTCCATGACCTTGAGCTGAAGTTTAGCTGTCGGTGCCTATGTCCGTAACTGGATAGAGGAGGTTGCCGTGCAGGCCCGTTTGTGTGTGCACATCTCTCATTAAAGAGCACTTGTTTAATTCACAAGATGGGCAGTGGCGTGATGAAGTGCGCCCTTCTGAGAGACGGCACTGCGGTTAATGCTGTCTGCGTCCTCCACGCCTTGCTAATGGCCTTTCTTCCCCGGCCTGCTCTCCGATATCCCAGGGTCTCTGAAGGGAAATAATTAATTCATGGGCACTGGCAGTGTGTGCTGGGAAGCAAGGCTGCCTTATTCACATGTGTGACCACTCACACACCAAGCAGCCAGTCACACGCACACACGCACGATGACCCCACGCACGCACAGCAGCCCTGTGCTGCCCCTGCAGCAGGGAGCGGGTGCGTTACGATCCTTTGGTGGTGCGTTTTCAGCACGGTTGCCTGAAGTCCTCCGGGCCCATCACAGTGATAAATGCCTTAGCTCCGTCTTTCTGCAGGGCGGGCTCAGGCTGCGTGGTTGGTGGGCTCCACTCTGCAGGTCGCACGGCCAGCCCTGCCCTGGGGCCTGATATTACGACCCACCTTTTGTGCCACGATCATCGTGGAACATTTCAAACATACAGCCAACCAAGAGAGTTGAACCGTAGGCACGTGTGTACCTACCGCTAGATTCTGGGTTAGCGTCTCGTGAAGTTGCTCTCGTTTCCATGCATCCTGTTTTTAATTATTTCAGAGTAAGTTGTAGACATCCGTACTCTTCACCCTTGAGCACTTTAGCATGCATGTTTCTGATCAAGGGTCAGTGGTGCTTGGAGTGTTTTTAGGTAAAACGTCTAGAACGTGAAATGTGCAGGTCTGAGGTGGACTCTGCTAATTTCTGACGAGTCCAGCGCCTGTGTAATGGACCCGTCAGCCCTGACCGTTCTCCCACCCCTCCCTCGTAAGCGTGGCTGCACGCCCGCCCCCGGGAGCCGCTTCTCTGGTTATATTTTAAAACACAGCTTAGAACAGCATATAAATATAAATGGAATCTCACCTGGCTCCCTCACTCACAGTCATCGCGCGGATCAATAGTCTTGTCTTTTCGCTGGGGAGTAGCTACAGAACCACAGTTTGTTTATCCAGGCGCCTGGGCACGGGCACGTGGGCCACTGACGTGAGGAAGCAGCACTAGAGAGCCGCCGTGAACATTACCGGATAAGTCTGTGGCCGTGTTTCAGTATTCTGTCTACCAGTGGAATTGTTGGGTGCTGGGGTTGGTGCGTGTTTAGTTTCCTGAGAAACCATCAGACCTGTTTATCCTCTGTCCATCTTTCCAGATTTTAGCCATTGTGGTCTGTTTGAAACATCTTCCAGTGTCCAAATCTCTGCCGATCTTTAATTGTTGTCTTCTCATTGAGTTACAGGATTTTTGCTGTTACGGGTAGCATTCTTTTGGATTTCATTTTAGCCGGCACTGTGCCTGCTCCCTTTGGAGCGGTGTCTGTCCACGCACGCGCTTCAGGCTTAGCACTGCCTGTGCCGCAGCAGCGTCCCCGCCCGAGGGTCTTTTCTCTGTGCGCCGGCTGGGGAACCTTTGTTGACTCTCACGCCAGGACGATCTTCTCCCATGTGGTTTTCCTGGAAGCTTCCTGGTTTTTACACCTAAGTTTGGTGGGGCCCGAGGTCCATGTCAAGTTCATGTTTGTGTGTGGTGAGAAGTGGGGGCACAGAGGACGTACACTTGTTGCTTTTCCCAGTCTACTGCTAGGGCGCCCTTTACAACTCACCTGGCCATGCAGGGAGGAGTCCCTTTCTCAGTCTGTTCTGTCCCCTGCAGCTGTTAGTCTGTGTCAGCCCACACTGTTTGGGTTACTGTAGCTTTGTGTTAAATCTGGAAACCAGCAGGGCCAACTCCCCAACTCTCCTCCTTTTCTTTTTTCTTAATTATTTGACAGATAGTGATATGGACAGTGAGAGAGACAGAGAGAAAGGTCTTCCTTCCGTTGGTTCACTCCCCAAATGGCCGCTACAGCCGGTGCTGTGCCGATCCGAAGCCAGAAGCCAGGTGCTTTTCCTGGTCTCCCATGCGGGTGCAGGAGCCCAAGCACTTGGGCCATCCTCCACTGCACTCCCGGGCCACAGCAGAGAGCTGAAAGAGGGGCAATCAGGACTAGAACCCGGCCCATATGGGATGCCGGTGCCGGCCCCAACTCTCCTCCTTTTCAATATTGCTTCGGTTATTCTAGATCCTTCAGATTTCCATACGAAATTAGCATCAACTTGTCCCTTTCTGTTCCCAGCTGTGGTCAGGAGTAAATTGAATCTGGATTAAAATCAGAGAGAATTGGCATCTCAGCAGTGTTGATTTTCTAGTCCGTGAGCCTGGGCTGTCTTCGATTTGTAGGTCTCGTTCTCTCTCTCACTTGGCAGTGTACTGATCTCGCTCTTCTTTTGTTAAATTTATTTAGCAGCATGTAATTCTTACGCTTTTGTAAATGAATGGACTTTTATTCTTTTCCAGATGTTAGCTACTATTATGTGATACTTTGTGATATGAGTGTTTCGAAACCACCTTGTTAGCATTTACATAAAAAAAAAAAAAAACTGGCTAGTGCTGCGGCTCACTAGGCTAATCCTTGGCCTGCGGTGCCGGCACACCAGGTTCTAGTCCTGGTCGGGGCGCCGGATTCTGTCCTGGTTGCCCCTCTTCCAGGCCAGCTCTCTGCTGTGGCCAGGGAGTGCAGTGGAGGATGGCCCAAGTGCTTGGGCCCTGCACCCCATGGGAGACCAGGATAAGTACCTGGCTCCTGGCTTTGGATCAGCACGATACACCGGCCGTAGAGGCCATTTAGGGGGTGAACCAATGGAAGGAAGACCTTTCTCTCTGACTCTCTCTCTCACTGTCTAACTCTGCCTATTAAAAAAAAAAAAAAAAAACCCTCAGCTTATTTCCTTGTCCTTCAAAGAGCCCCAGCCTCAGGGCTGAGGAGCAGAGCCCGGAGCTGGTGTGCCGCTGTTGGCTGAGTGGCCTGGCCTGTGTCTGTGCTGCCCAGTGGAATCCACCTCCTCCCTGACTGCAGACTTCCCCGTAGAGGGCACGGGGACAGAGCTCGCCACACTGGCTCTCTAGCCCCTGGGAATCTGGTGGCCTTCACTTTTCTCCCTAGGAAAGGAGAGGGGGAGGGGGAGGGAGAGAGAGAGAGTGTGTGTGTGTGTGTGTGTGTGTGCACTTTGTGTGCAGTTCAGAACACTCAGGAAGCCCCTGCTGCCTGTGTGTTAGCTGTTTGGGGCCCCCAGACCCCTCTCCGTGCAGCCCTGTTCTGGAATGGGAGTGTGACAGGGCAAGAGACGGCTTCCTCTCCGCTGGTCTGCAGCGCCCAGCACCGGGTGTGGCCTCGCACAGCTGCCTTGTGCGTCTGTGGAGGAGCCCAGCCCTGCTGCACCGTGGCCTCCTCTGAGCCCCGCCTCTCCCAGGTAGCGCCAGGTGCCCAGTGGACCTGGAGCTGCCCCCACCTCCTCCACGCAGGGCAGGCCAGCGTCCACTCTTAGAGAACAGGAGCGTGTCCCAAGCAGGGCCGCCATCCAGGTAACCCAACTGGCCGAGCCAGGAGGTGTCTTCAGGCCACCTGGCCAGTAACCGCTGTGGTGCACGGGCGTCCCAAGGCCTGGAGTCTCCAAGAATCGCCCGGGGTCATTCCATGGTGTATTTGTATTGGGGTGGTAGGGACTGGGACTGCCGATTTAAAGCTGGCTCTCATTGGGCTGTCTAGAAGGAAAAGGCTGGGGACAGAGGGTAAATGTCCACCCTCCCCCCAGAATGGATCTTTCTGCTTCCACTGGGCACTCTGACCCTCAGCCCTCGTCCCTAAGCCTCTGCTCCCCAGATGCTGGCTGTGAGCTCAGCGGCCAGCTTCCCTCCCCACCAGGCGGCTGCCCTTGGCCCTACGGGATCCCCTGAGCCACGCTCGGCCGTGGGAGCCTTTGCAGAAAGCTGGCCCCGGCGTGTCCCCCTGGAAGGGCTGCAGGTACCCGGATGAGAGGAGTTCGGTGACAGTGGCATTGCAGGGCCATCTCCTCTCTTCCTACCGCCCGGAATTAGGTCACAGCGCATCCCTCTGCTGTCCTCTCCTGAGAGTGGGCACCCAGTGACGGCGATGCCCCGTGTGTTTCCTCCCGTGCAGGTGCCGGAGTCATGGGCAGCAAGCCGTCCACCCTGGGCGGTGACTGCACAGCGCAGGCCCTCAGGACAGAAGATATCCACGTCGCCTACAGACGGGGAGACTCCAGCAGGGCCAGAGACCTGCTCCGAGAAGCTTGCGACGAGAGCACATCGCAGCTGGAGAGGGTAGGACTCGGGCCACACGCGCCGTCCGCGGTCCCTGCTTGTTGATTTCCTTATTGGCATCGTGGTCTGGAAGTGCCTCCTTCCGCGTCAACATCTGTGGGCCGACTTCAGCTGCCCAGACCCGGCCTCCGTTCCCGGGAGCCTGTGAGGGGCAGGTGTGGGGTCACAGAAATGTCAGGAATGGGGGGCACCTGTAGATTGAACGGTGTTCTTTCACACTTGCTGCCGTTAGAACAATAGCCCACTCTCAAAAGAGAAAACTTGAGACCCTACAGTGGCACGCGCGGTCTCTGGTGTGTCCTTTGCAGCCTGCTGACCTGGGCAAGCGCTCTCGGGCACTCTGTGGGTCCTGTCGCATACACTGCTGGCTGTCACCTGGTGCCACGTTCAGACTTTTCCCTGTGACGAAACGTTTTTATGAACATCGCCTTCAGTGGCTGAGCAATGTTCCGTCACATAGAGAGGCTCAGTCCATGTCCCAGGGCCTCTGGACCAGGGAAGCCGAGGCTGTCAACTCTCGGAAGCCTGAGTGCTAGCAGGGGGGCTGCTGGGCTGAGCGTGTCCCCCTCCCAGAGTGAGAGAGCAGTGCACCTGCGGTCTTTCTAGTCTGCAGCCCATAGCCCGTGGGTGATGCTGCCCGCACGCAGGCCAGGTCTTCCCACACAGTCCACTCGACTCACACTAATCTAGTTGGGATGCAGTCCCAGAGACGCCCCCGACATAACGCTTTTCTGGGTTTCCAGGCGTCCTGTAATGTACCAGCTTCCTGCTGGCTGGGTCGGGTTGTTTCTAGTTCCCTACTAACCGTGCTATGCTGAGTGCTTTGCCCGACTCTCCTCCCCTGAGGCTGTTTTCTAAGGGTTACTTGCAGGCACTGAGGCTGGGAACCTGAACGTTTTTAAAGTCTGGGATGCCGAACTGCTCTCCACGGAGCTCTAGCCAAGGACTTGGGGCGGCTGTTGCCACCTCCTTGCACCCGTGGCCACTTCTCATTGGCTGTTACCATGCAGACACTTCACGGCTGTTCCATTTGCATCAACTTGATTAGCGTAGGTTGCGTATTCTCCATTTAATTGGCAGTCAGGAATAATTCAGGTCCTAACCCTCCAGCCCTTTCCCAGGAGTGTAAGAGCCTGGAGGGAGGTCGGGGTCCCGTGGGCTCCCTCTGCCCGCGGATTTGTGGCTCGTTCTGCACAGTGCAGGAGCGCAGCCGACCCGTTCCCCTCGGAAGGAGGCAGCTTCAGAAACCACGCAGCACTCCAGAGGCATGAGCTGATCCCCAGCGGCTCCTGGAAAGATCGCCGTGGAGGGAAGGCAGAGCAGGGACGCCTCTCCCCTTCTGGCTAAGTGCACCTGACAGAGCAGGGACGCCTCTCCCCTTCTGGCTAAGTGCACCTGAAACCCTTGGCGTGGCGTCTGAGACAGAAGGCTGTGAACCCCACCACGGGTAACAGTTCCACTGCCCCCGTCAGCTGCGACCACGTGGGAAGGCTGACTCGCGTCCATCTCACGGGCTTACCCGGCAGTACGGAGACGCTTGGCCTCCGCCCAGCCCGTGGGCAGCCTAGGGTCCCCTCCCTGCCCGGCACTGGCGAGGAGTCCCTGACACGCACCAGTGGGTGTCTGGCTATGCAGCCCCCGGGGGAAGGCAGCAGCTCCCTCCTCCCTACCAGTGCACAATTAGTAGACGCTAACCACACGATGCAAATGAGATACAGAGTCATCAAGCCCAGTTGCCCAGAATTTCCAAGTTCTGAT